CGCTGTCATCCGATGCAGAGCTGATCCTAATCAGATCCTTGACATTGGGCAAAGTCACCAGTAAGTGCTCGCGTGACCCCCCCCCCCCCCCCCCCTCTCCCCGCTCGTACTTTTGTCCCCAACTGTTCATTTCACCTTTCTTGACTTAGCTCCTCAGAAATTACTGCAATTAAAAAAAAAAAATCAATGGTGTGACACCGTTCCCCTGCAGGGAGGGAGAACCTGGACGAGGAAGTGATGCAGGCGGCTTCGAAAGGTTTCATTGGCTGCCTGTCGTCGGTCCAGTTCAATCACGTGGCTCCGCTGAAGGCGGCGCTGACCAATCGAGGAAGCTCGCTGGTCACCATCCGGGGTCCGCTGGTCCAGTCGAACTGCGGAGCGTTGGCAGAGTCCACCTCGCACACGCTGCAGGGTAGAGACGCTCGTCCACCTCACACTCAACACGAGCCTTCATCTACAAATCAACACTAACAGCAGAAAATATAAAGTAGAAGTTTGAATGTCAACGTTTCCCAGATAAACTCTGTCTGACCGAAATCACAATATATCCACCGTTTCTGAAAATGTCCACAAACTCGTCACGAGTGAACTGAAATGATCCGCCCCTCGAAAAAACCCCTTTAATGTAGAAGAGTTGAACCTCAATATTCTGAGCTCGTTAACTTCGTTATTCTAAATATACTTTTAGGATCAATTCTTTTCTTCACAATCAAACAACCGACGTTTCTCATCATCCTCAGTTTGGGATTTATTCACGTTATGACAAAAAGAGTAGAAAACAGCTGAGCCCACGTTCGTAAACTTAACGAGTTTCAACGAGATGAATCATTAAAATGCCGTTAAAATTAAACCTGCTGTTATTTAGATACGAGATCCTCGTGCTGGTGAACTTTACGCAGCGGTAGATCAAATGGGAAGTTGCTAAAAGTGGAAATAAAAAGTACAACATATCAAATGCGAGCAAACGTTTCGGTCGTCTGCCTGAAAACAAAACGTGTGTTTCTACTTTGACTCGTCGGAGCCGTCCGCCGCCTCATAACGGCTTCAACACAAAAACAGCTGATCACAACACGAGTGTGTTCTGTCGAATGCTGCACCACAGCAGAGCTTCCATTACAGCTTTTAAATAAAGTGCAGGAACTAATGCTTCGACATCAGCGGAGTGAGGGAAGACGGGGACGTCTGCGTCCTTATTTATATCCAGAATAAACACGATTGGACTATTTCAAAATGGCGTCCGGTCCGGTGAGGCCGCAGCTGCAGTCGAGCAGCTGGAGCTCAGGGTTTGTGCAGCTCCGTGAATCATCTCGTCTCGTGGAGACACAACATTCAACCGGTCACTCGCCTTCAGGCTAATTTATTCGTAACAAATTCGGTCCGACAGTTGAACGCGCGTCGGTCGTCAGGCGTCAGATCAGCCTCCGTCGGCTCCACCTTCCCTCTGACCTTAACCTGCTTTCATCACCCGGCCGCTCGGATGTCGGAGGAAAACTTAAAGCGACGCTATTTAACTCTTACCGAGCAGCAGCGCCCTCTGCAGGGGGTTTAATCTGTCAGGCTCCGTGTCCGAGTGATGACGAGGATTTCATACAGAGAAAAACGAGTAAATGGTGGATATTACCCACGATCCTCTCTGATTCCTGAACCAGAGGAGCTGCAGCTGTAACTAATCCACCAAACTCTGTTCAGAATTCTTCATATTTTGAAAGTTTGCTGCTGAACATTGGAGATAAACTCTGGTTGTTGAAAACTGATCACAGATCAGCTCCAGACAGTCGGAGCTGTGACTCTCAGACGCTCAGCGAGTGAAGGAGGAAACTCCACGTTCACACTCACTCAACCATCAAACTCACTTTAATGAAGCTGCTGTTTGAAGGTAAAGAAAAGTTTAATCGTGTTGCTTTAATCCCCCCCCCATTACAATTTAACAGCACATAATCAAGTGTCTTTATAACTTTGGCCCAAAATTCTAATGAAGCTGCTATTTTAAGATATTTTTAAAGTCTCCTGCTGATCATTGGGATAAACGTTTGTTTTAATGACTTCTACGTCTTTCTAACGGATCTGCACTTCAGCCTCGCGGTGTGACGTCACGAAGCTCCGTGTCCCTGACTGTTCGACAGATTATTAAGGACATTAGAGAAACACGCACCTCAGGAACCAGCTCGCTGAGTGAAAAACTCAAACATGCTCCGGAGAGTCGCAGAGAGGTGAAACTTAAAAAAACGTCTCATGTCGTTCTGTGTAACTCTACAGCTTCTCCGACAGCGTATTGAAGCACACGTGACAACAACACCTGCGTCTCCCGTGTAACGGGGACATCAGTGTCTTCACTCTGTCTTCTGTCTGTGTCTCCAGATCAAGCAGTAACGGCCAACAAGGACAACGAGCAGCGGAGCAAAGGAAACCAGAAAGATCTGGCTGTGATCGCAGGTCTGAGTTGTGGTTTATGTTTTCTCTTTCTTTGGTTAAATGAAAATGAGCCCCAGCTGGGTGTTATTCCTCATTCTCTCCATTTGCCTCCTTCTTTATTCTTTCTCTCTTTTTTTCTCTTGAAAACTCATTTTCATCATTTCATTGCCCGTTAAGCTCTTTTACTTTGAGACCGGATTGAACTTGATGATGTTAAAGGATTTCTGTGTGTTTTCTTAACGAGGGAACGTTCGCTCTGTGTTCTGGCGTCTGTGAGAATCTAACTTCTGTCGAGGGTGAAATCCAACCTGAGGATTCGAAGAGTTTAATGGTGCCTATGAAAAAATACATTTGGGCACAGGATCGAAAATATGCTGATCAACGCACTTTGCATTTTATGTCAGAAGATCAAAACACTGAGCAATTACAACGTTTTACTGTCCCGTGGTATTTCCTCGGACCTGATGCAGTAAATCCCACGTTTTACTAGAACCCGATTGATTTACAGCTCGGACAATATGAGCCTTTCACCTTTTATTATGCTGATAGTAAAAGTTTAATTTTACAGAGTAAACAATGCAGAGTAGATGAGTATTTATGTTTAAGTTCTTATTACATTAATACAGTTTTATAGATAAGACATTCTGTCCGTCAGCAGCAGCTGTGCCTTCTGAGAAATAAAGAAAAAACTGATCAGGAACGACAAAAACATGAATTCATGCTTCCAACAATACATCAAGTTACAATATAAACTTAATGTTAGATCACGAACAATTCATTTTACAGAATAAAAACTAATGTCACCACAAAGAAAGACATTTTTAGTTATTATTATTATTATTCGTTTCTTAGATGTTCACAGTGTCGGATGTGAAGTTTACGATGCAGAAAAGTTTTGTGTTTATTTTAAATTAAATCATTTGCTGACTTTGTTCAAGTTCTATACTTTTGGTTTTATTCTTTATCCAAACGTTTATTAATTAAACTGTAAATTATCAAATCTTAATTACATTTCTTTGTCAAATCACAATAATAGTTTAAATAAACCCACAGTCTCTGTTGAGTGTTGTTTTTATTTGTCTGTACATTTTGTTTCTGCTTTAATTTAAATCTCTTCCTTTAATAACTTTGTGATCTTTTGTAACAATCGAGTCAAAAAAGTTTTTTTTTACACTTTAAGCTTCTTTAAGATTCTATTATTTTAACTCGTCAGTCGTCACAGTGACCAGTTTAGATCAGGAGGTCGACAACAGGCACTCGGTGGGGACGTGGTCGTCCGACACCTTCTGACGCATCTCCCCTGCTGTGCCCTCAGGTGTGGTGACGGCCGTGGTCTTCATCGCCGTGTGCGCCCTCGCCGTGATGAGCCGCCTCCTGTACCAGCAGCGCCAGGCCCAGCGGAGCAGCAGCAGCAGCATCAAAGAGGAGCACAGACACAGCGTGTACACGGACTACAGGACAGAGCTGCAGCTCCACAACCCGATCAGGGACAACATGAAGGAGTACTACATCTGACACGGCGTGCGCTCTCTGGCCCTACGTTGCAAACGTACCTCTTGCGGGCGGGGCGGGAAAAAACCGGACAGGCCGCTGCAGCATTTCTCTCACAACAAAACATCTCTGTACAAGAACGAGCGAGTGGCCGAAGCTCTACAGCTGTTAGTGTATTTGATGTTGGTGAAACTGTCCCAATCGAGCTGCTGTGGTTTCTGTCGTTGCAAAAATGTGTAAAGCGAAAAATCGGAAAGTCCTGCAAGGGAGGGGGGGGGGGATGGAGCTCCGATCCGTGAATGCGCACAACTTCAAATGTTTTGTTTGAAACCCTCAGATGCTGAATATTTTCCACATTTCGGTGGGACTCAATTGTACTCGCAAGTCAGGAAATGTAGGCCAGGCTTGTAAGATATGTGCGCGTTCGCTGCTGTCTTTGTTTTTAGTTTTTTTTTTTTTTTTTTTTTTCCGGTGGTGGTGAATGTTTTAGAAGAAGAAACGGGGACGATACTGCCTATACTGTACGAGTGCCTAATTTGCATACGACTTTTTCTTTCAACATTTTAGAAGTTTTCCTTGTGATTTGCAGAGAAAAGGCAGTTTTCATTTGCACACAGGGGTTAAGTTCTGCAACAGAAGACAAGTTCCCAGTTCCTCACATCGCGGCGCCGTCTGAAGGAGCGTGGGGGGAGATTGACAAACCTTCAACAGTCCAACGATTCCAGGACGTTCCAGAAGTTCTTTTTGTGCGAATTCAACACTTTCGAGTTCTTTCAGGTTTTTAAAGTTTGTGCGTCATTCAGACATAGATGTGATGTATTTTTATTTATTTTCATTTCTTCGTGAGTTATTTCTCCTGTGCATAGAAATCTAAAAACACTTGTGTATATTGTACCATGAGAGTAGCAGGAATAAGAAATTAGCACAGCGGAATTATAGTACAGGATTTAAATTCAAAAAGAAAAAAAAGTACTTCACACAAATACTTACTGTACATTAAGGGGGTTTTGAAAATCGCTAGCGTCTCCACCGTCTCTTACCGGTGTAGGAACATATCCGCTTGGTATTCGGGCAGTTTTGTATTGTATGTACAGGAATCCTGCATCTTTTTTTCCGTTCGCAGTAGTACGTTTGTCAGTACCTTCTCTACTACACTTTACCACAGTACTCTGAGTTGTACCACAGTTAAAAAACGGTTGTGATTCCTTCATCGCAGTTGCAAGCGTAGCGATATGCAAACACCAAGAGGGGCGGGATTTTTACTTTCGTTGGTATTTTGATTTTGCAGCGTTGGACGTGAGACTGTGAGGCGACAACATTTCTCGGAATCATCATCGGTTTATTTCTTTACGATATGGATTACAGGGATAAGTGGTGTTTTCTATGTATTTCAATCAGAAAACATTTTTATATACTGCACATCGTCCACTGGTTCATCGTACAAACAAAGTCACACAGAGTAATACGAAAAAAGTCGAGAGCCACCTAGAGGTCGGGAGAGTGCGTTACACACCCGAAAACTAAAAGCATGGATTAAAACATAAACAATGGAGAAAAAGTTTTTTAGATCATTTATCACTCGAGAAGTTAAACAGACTCATTTACGTAGAGTTATGACACATTCACCCAGTCACACTTGCGTTCATACAGCGCTTCTGCACGCCGGATATTTGGACTTGGGTGTCTCGCTGAAGGACACCGCGAGACCGGAGGGGCCAGGGATTGAACCAGCAACCCTCCGAGAAGGTCGACGCCGGAGGAAAAGCGATGTCAGCGCGGCGAGCTCGGTTTTACTTCATCGTCCACCGGCTTCAGCTGCTCGTGGGCAGGTTAGCTGTCGTTGTCAACATCTATTGTGCTTTGAGCTCAACATGCTATGCATTAGGCTTAAAGCCCACGCCCACACTCACACAGATAAAGAAGTTTGTTTTGTTTTAAGTATCCTGTCATGAACTACAGTGTCGGCCGAGTCATTACGCTCCGTCTTCTTTGGATCCTCAATGTCTGTGTAAAAAGTCAAGGGACACGATCCAGCAAGATGCTCCGCTCCGGGTTTTGGAACCTTGCTGATGAACTGACGGACGAAAAGACTGACAAACAATTCTAACCCTTCCCCTGGAACAACCCCCCCCCCCCCCCCCCCCCCCCCCCCCCCCC